GGCCGTCCAGAAGCTGGCGACTGATCTGCCTCGCCCGGGAAGAGCTCAATGATGGTGCCAACTTGGGCCAGTGAAGCAACGTCCTCCACAACTAGACTGAGGAACAAGACGACAGCAACTTGTGTGTTCCCCATCCCCCAATTCCCCAGCGCTGTTCCCATCTCCAAATTCCCCAATAAAAATCTTAAAAACAAAAACAAAAACAAAAAAAAACCTCCCAACAAGAAAAAAGCCTAGAACCAGTTGGCTTCACGGGTGAATTCTACCACCCATTTAAAAAAGAATTACTGTCAGTCCTTCTCAAACTCTTCCAAAAAATTGAAGAGGAAGGAACATTTCCAAACTCATTTTATAAGGCCAGCATTAGCCTGATAAAGTCAGACAAAGACACTATAAAAAAAGAAAACCATAGGATAATATCTCTAATGAACACAGATACAAAAATCCTCAACAAAATACTAGCAAACCATATTCAACAGCACTTTAATAGGATCACACACCATAATCTAATGGATTTATCCTGGGATGCAAGGATGGTTCAACTAAAAGTGATACAACATAGTAACAGAACGAAGGATAAAAATCACATGATCATCTCAATAGATGCAGAAAAAGCATCTGATAAAATTCAATACTCCTTCATGATAAAATCACTCAACACACTTTGTACAGAAGCATATCTCAACATAACACCATACATGACAAGCTCACCATTAACATCACACTCAATGCTAAAAAACTGAGTTTTTCCTCAAAGATCAGGATCTTTACAAAGATGCTCATTCTCACCACTTCTATTCAACATAGTGCTGGAAGTATTGGCCAGAGCAATTAGGCAAGAAATTAAAAGGCATCCAAACTGGAAAGGAAGAAGTAAAATTCCAAGGTTTACATCTTCAATTTCAAGCTTGTTGTGCACCTACCAAAAAGGAATTGAAAGCTATTAATGTATTGGGTCCATTAGTGGAAGAAAAAAATCCTCAGTAATATGATCTCAGTTGTATATCAGTTTTATCAGAGACTTTCAAATAGAAAAAACTCAATTAATTCAAATAATGGTTAAACTGTGTTTATCCAATTCATGAAATAAAAGTAAACCTTTTGAAAACTTTTTCTATTGAAAATGAAATAGCTGACATTCTGGTATGTGCTATTGAAACTCATTTAAAAAGGTAAACATTGAAGATCAAAATTATTTGGCAGTTAATATAAATACAGATTTTAGTGGAGCATAGTGTCACATTAAAAATTAATATTCTCGGGCCGGCCGAGTGGCTCAGTTGGTTAAGAGCTCACTCAAGAGTTTGAGCTCTGAGTAACAGCGGTTCGATGCCCGGCCCGAGCTGAGCAGCCGTTGAGCTGCCAACAGGTGGCAGGATGGCTCAGCTGAAAAAAAAATTAATATTCTCACTAAATTAAGATAGCTATGAAACAGAAAGCTAATTAGAATTGTTTGTGGTACAAACATAATTCAAATACCATTCAAACAAGCTGAGATACTGTGCCAATCAAAATAGAAGCTGCAGTTGACATGCTTTGCAATATTTTTATATAAGCAGAGTAACTGACCTATAGAATTTCTATGATGAAACTCATATTGGATACCAAAAAATACTTCAGCATGGCAATATGTAATTTTTCTCTTTGCGCCTTCTTCTCAGTCATATTGTAGATAAGTTTGAATATTCGAAGAACTACTTCATAAATGAAACTAAATTCCCTACAACTATACTGAATGTTTTGGTAAACAATTCCTGTAAGTTTTCGTTACTTTAGTGGAAAATCAGAGGGAAATATATAATCAAAGTATTAAACAGAGCAAAAAAAATGTTTTTAAAACTTTTTGTAAATTACAATGATTAAATCACAACTTATAAGTAGGAAAACATTGACATTTATTTCTACAAAAGTAAGGAATGAACTAAACAAAATACACCATGATTGCTCAATGGTATGGAAGATTTAATTTCAAAATTTCAAAATTATGCTTTAAAATATCTCAAGTTCTAAAAAGAATACTTTGATGGAGCTATTATTTCTGATTGGGTAAATGTATATTCTGTATTACAATGAAATAAAATTAAGGACTAGAATTATTCAGGATTTAAAGTTGGTGAAACATTCAAAAAAAAATCATGGACAAAGAAAATGTCTGCGTTGTCTTATATTCTGAATAGTTTTTCTGAATGGAAGGTAAAATATTTACATAATTCAA